GGAATAACTTCTAGTCAGTCCCACTGGAAGAGGCAATTTTTCAAAAGCTGTTTTATGATGTGTGACAGACCCATTTGAAGGTGTTTTTGGAGCATGACATGAAACGACAATCGATTAAAAATTCCTCGTTGCTCCGGTAAAAGATCCATAAATAACTTTATACTTTGTCCATTTCTTGAAGTTTAGTGTTCGAAATCACAATTTCATCTGTCAGTTTAATTGATTGAGGCTAATTTCCATTGAACTTTCTCTTAAGTGAACTTGATAATCATATGCTAAGTAGCGCTTGGCATTCAGAATAGGGCAACTGCGTAAATTTTGGACTACCTGACCGCTAGTTCGCTACCTTTAAATTCAACGGCGATGCTCAGAATTCAGCAATGATTTAGCTTCATTAATTCTGAAGTAGACTCATTAATTAATGATCTTTTTCGTTCATATGGCTGAAGGTAGGTGGCTAGGAAATTTGTGTTGGAACATGCAGGTTTATAAGCCCATGAATTGCCAGCTCGTTTCTGGACAATAGTTGTGCTGGCATTGAACTTTTACAACGGACATTTGGGTATGATCTGCGGCATGGTCGAATCTTCGTGGCTGCAATCACAACTCAGGGTGGGCTTCATCTTCCAATGGAGGAAGAGGTGTCCGCAGCGCCTTCTACTGTTCGAATCCAATTTAATATGGACCATTCTTTTCAGCCAAGGTACATACCAGAAGGATTCTGTAGTCAAGTCGTATGTAGAGTCTTGACATGATTGTTGCTTCCCATTCTACTTGTCGCTGTTCTTTGAGACTCAGTCGTAGCGTCGTCACTCCCTCCCGTTGTTGGTGCCGTTATCTCAGGCGTCGTGCCGGTAGCTGCTGGAGGACTATACTGACGAGAAGCGGACGATTGGCTTTCATGGTCCAAAAGCGCGAGATACCTGCTAGCCTCTACAGAGGTAAGGAGGTTTATAATGTCCGCGAAGCGGTAAACACGGCGTTTGGGATGGCATTAGGGTTCTCTGAAAGTTCACATAGCATCATTGAGCTGCATGTTTCCTTTTTAATGTGACAGCTATAG